AACCCCTTCTCCTGTATACATTTACTAAAAAAGAGAAGAAGAAAAAAATTTATAAAACTGGGATGCTTAAATGTGCGTGGATGTAGTGCGGATGACAAGAAACAGATGATTGCTGATGTTATGAATGAAAAGAAGTTGGATGTCCTGGCTTAAGAAATCGTAATGACACGATTGCAAATAAACCATACCCCCGGCCGGGATTGAACCCGCGGTCATAGAGTCTCAAACTCCAGCCCGTCGCGCTAGCCACTAGACCAGCTAGCCACAATAAGATTCATCCAACTAGGTATATTTCTACACCATAGGAAAGTTAGCACAGGCACCTCTGTGACCACAAATGCAAGTTTTTACAGACGAATCTCCAGCTAGCGTGGCCGTGACGAACTCTAGCTCAAGTCCCTTCACTGCCGTCAACATGACTTAAGAAATCGTAATGACACGATTGCAAATAAACCATACCCCCGGCCGGGATTGAACCCGCGGTCATAGAGTCTCAAAACTCCAGCCCGTCGCGCTAGCCACTAGACCAGCTAGCCACAATAAGATTCATCCAACTAGGTATATTTCTACACCATAGGAAAGTTAGCACAGGCACCTCTGTGGTGTAGAAATATACCTAGTTGGATGAATCTTATTGTGGCTAGCTGGTCTAGTGGCTAGCGCGACGGGCTGGAGTTTTGAGACTCTATGACCGCGGGTTCAATCCCGGCCGGGGGTATGGTTTATTTGCAATCGTGTCATTACGATTTCTTAAGTCATGTTGACGGCGTGAAGGGACTTGAGCTAAGTTCGTCACGGCCACGCTAGCTGGAGATTCGTCTGTAAAAACTTGCATTTGTGGTCACAGAGGTGCCTGTGCTAACTTTCCTATGGTGTAGAAATATCCCTAGTTGGATGAATCTTATTGTGGCTAGCGGGTCTAGTGGCTAGCGCGACGGGCTGGATTTTTGAGACTCTATGACCGCGGGTTCAATCCCGGCCGGGGGTAGGGTTTTATTTGCAATCGTGTCATTACGATTTTTTAAGTCATGTTGACGGAAAGTAAAGGGACTTGAGCTAGAGTTCGTCACGGCCACGCTAGCTGGAGATTGTCTGTAAAAACTTGCATTTGTGGTCACAGGGGGTGCCTGTGCTAACTTTCCTATGGTGTAGAAATATCCCTAGTTGGATGAATCTTATTGTGGCTAGCTGGTCTAGTGGCTAGCGCGACGGGCTGGAGTTTTGAGACTCTATGACCGCGGGTTCAATCCCGGCCGGGGGTATGGTTTGGATGTCCTGGCTCTAAGCGAAACAAAGCTGAAGGGGGTAGGAGAGTTTCAGTGGGGGAAATAAATGGGATTAAATCGGGAGTATCTGAGAGAGTTAGAGCAAAGGAAGGGGTAGCAGTAATGTTAAATGATCAGTTTATGGAAGGAGAAAAGAGAATATGAATGTGTAAATTCAAGAATTATGTGGATTAAAGTAAAGGTTGGATGCGAGAAGTGGGTCATAATAAGGGGGGTATGCACCTGGAGAAGAGAGGAATGCAGAGGAGAGAGAGAGATTTGGGAGATGTTAAGTGAATGTGTAGGAGCCTTTGAACCAAGTGAGAGAGTAATTGTGGTAGGGGACCTGAATGCTAAAGTAGGAGAAACTTTTAGAGAGGGTGTGGTAGGTAAGTTTGGGGTGCCAGGTGTAAATGATAATGGGAGCCCTTTGATTGAACTTTGTTTTAGAAAGGGGTTTAGTTATAGGTAATACATATTTTAAAAAAAAGAGGATAAATTTAAATATACACGATATGATGTAGGGCGAAATGACAGTAGTTTGTTGGATTATGTATTGGTAGATAAAAGACTGTTGAGTAGACTTCAGGATGTACATGTTTATAGAGGGGCCCAAAATATATCAGATCACTTTCTAGTTGTAGCTACACTGAGAGTAAAAGGTAGATGGGTTTCAAGGAGAATGAAGCAACAGGGAAGAGAGAGGTGAAGGTTTATAAACTAAAAGAGGGGGCAGTTAGGGTAAGATAAAACAGCTATTGGAGGATAGATGGGCTAATGGAGCATAGGCAAAGGGGTCGAAGAGGTATGGGGTAGGTTTAAAAATGTAGTGTTAGAGTGTTCAGCAGAAGTTTGTGGTTACAGGAAAGTGGGGCAGGAGGGAAGGGGAGCGATGGTGGAATGATGATGTAAAGAGGTGTAAGGGAGAAAAAGTTAGCATATGAGAAGTTTTTACAAAGTAGAAGTGATGCAAGGAGGGAAGAGTATATGGAGAAAAAGAGAGAGGTTAAGAGAGTGGTTTAAGCAATGTAAAAAGAGAGCAAATGAGAGAGTGGGTGAGATGTTATCAACAAATTTTGTTGAAAATAAGAAAAAGTTTTTGGAGTGAGATTAACAAGTTAAGAAAGCCTAGAGAACAAATGGATTTGTCAGTTAAAAATAGGAGAGGAGAGTTATTAAATGGAGAGTTAGAGGTATTGGGAAGATGGAGGGAATATTTTGAGGAATTGTTAAATGTTGATGAAGATAGGGAAGCTGTGATTTCGTGTATAGGGCAAGGAAGAATAACATCTTGTAGGAGTGAGGAAGAGCCAGTTGTGAGTGTGAGGGAAGTTCGTGAGGCAGTAGGTAAAATGAAAGGGGGTAAGGCAGCCGGGATTGATGGGATAAAGATAGAAATGTTAAAAGCAGGTGGGGATATAGTTTTGGAGTGGTTGGTGCAATTATTTAAATAAATGTATGGAAGAGGGTAAGGTACCTAGTGATTGGCAGAGAGCATGCATAGTTCCTTTGTATAAAGGCAAAGGGATAAAAGAGAGTGCAAAAATTATAGGGGGATAAGTCTGTTGAGTGTACCTGGTAAAGTGTATGGTAGAGTTATAATTGAAAGAATTAAGAGTAAGACAGAGAATAGGATAGCAGATGAACAAGGAGGCTTTAGGAAAGGTAGGGGGTGTGTGGACCAGGTGTTTACAGTGAAACATATAAGTGAACAGTATTTGGATAAGGCTAAAGAGGTCTTTGTGGCATTTATGGATTTGGAAAAGGCGTATGACAGGGTGGATAGGGGGCAATGTGGCAGATGTTGCAAGTGTATGGTGTAGGAGGTAGGTTACTGAAAGCAGTGAAGAGTTTTTACGAGGATAGTGAGGCTCAAGTTAGAGTATGTAGGAAAGAGGGAAATTTTTTCCCAGTAAAAGTAGGCCTTAGACAAGGATGTGTGATGTCACCGTGGTTGTTTAATATATTTATAGATGGGGTTGTAAGAGAAGTAAATGCGAGGGTCTTGGCAAGAGGTGTGGAGTTAAAAGATAAAGAATCACACACAAAGTGGGAGTTGTCACAGCTGCTCTTTGCTGATGACACTGTGCTTTTGGGAGATTCTGAAGAGAAGCTGCAGAGATTGGTGGATGAATTTGGTAGGGTGTGCAAAAGAAGAAAATTAAAGGGGGAATACAGGAAAGAGTAAGGTTATGAGGATAACAAAAAGATTAGGTGATGAAAGATTGAATATCAGATTGGAGGGAGAGAGTATGGAGGAGGTGAACGTATTCAGATATTTGGGAGTGGACGTGTCAGCGGATGGGTCTATGAAAGATGAGGTGAATCATAGAATTGATGAGGGAAAAAGAGTGAGTGGTGCACTTAGGAGTCTGTGGAGACAAAGAACTTTGTCCTTGGAGGCAAAGAGGGGAATGTATGAGAGTATAGTTTTTACCAACGCTCTTATATGGGTGTGAAGCGTGGGTGATGAATGTTGCAGCGAGGAGAAGGCTGGAGGCAGTGGAGATGTCATGTCTGAGGGCAATGTGTGGTGTGAATATAATGCAGAGAATTCGTAGTTTGGAAGTTAGGAGGAGGTGCGGGATTACCAAAAACTGTTGTCCAGAGGGCTGAGGAAGGGTTGTTGAGGTGGTTCGGACATGTAGAGAGAATGGAGCGAAACAGAATGACTTCAAGAGTGTATCAGTCTGTAGTGGAAGGAAGGCGGGGTAGGGGTCGGCCTAGGAAGGGTTGGAGGGAGGGGGTAAAGGAGGTTTTGTGTGCGAGGGGCTTGGACTTCCAGCAGGCATGCGTGAGCGTGTTTGATAGGAGTGAATGGAGACAAATGGTTTTTAATACTTGACGTGCTGTTGGAGTGTGAGCAAAGTAACATTTATGAAGGGATTCAGGGAAACCGGCAGGCCGGACTTGAGTCCTGGAGATGGGAAGTACAGTGCCTGCACTCTGAAGGAGGGGTGTTAATGTTGCAGTTTAAAAACTGTAGTGTAAAGCACCCTTCTGGCAAGACAGTGATGGAGTGAATGATGGTGAAAGTTTTTCTTTTTCGGGCCACCCTGCCTTGGTGGGAATCGGCCAGTGTGATAATAATAAAAATAATAATCATTATTTTTTTATTTTTTAGAGCTTTATCAAAACTTGTCCAAATAAAAGTTAGTTCTGCAACATGTGTCTTTTCTTTATGCTTTCCAGAGAGTTAGAAATTTAATTAAATGATAGTATATTTGATAGAGTATTTTAAATAACCCATACTGTATCTTACAAAGGATGTAGCTAAATCTCTTGAAATGACATGATAAGCTAAGTTCTGATGGTTATGTTGGTCTGTGAACTGCCAGTGGTAGGCATAATCAGGTTACATTCTGGGTAGTTTGGCACCTAACCATGCTGTGGGCGGTACGGGTCATTAGTATGTGGTGGAGGTTGTACCTATTTTGTCAGGAAGCATGAAAGCATCTCCAGATGTAGGTCTATCAGACAATGAGCTATTTAGTGAATGAGTAACTATTGACATACCAGTAATAGATATCGATGATTTTAATAGCCGCTTTTTTAATGATGCTGTATACCCATGGCTGAGCATCCACTGGATTAGAGAAAGTTAATTTTTCAACCCTAGGATATATTACTATGTTATAACCCTTGATTATCTAGCAGTTCCTAAACAGGTTCTTTTAATTGTTTCAGAAGTTGTGTATCAGATACTGTGTATAATAAAACTTAATTGCTTTGCAGGATCCCCTAGAACATTTTGGCACCCCTTTACCTCAACGCACCTCATGGGCAATGTCTCCTACAACTCAGTTTCACATTGATCTTGAGGGACTTGGTGGGTCTCATATACCAACCAGCCATACATCTTCATTACCGCCTAGCCCTAGTACCTACCATTCTCAAAAAAAGCCACCTGGCAGCCCTTCTGGATATAGTCTTCCATCAAAAAGTCCAAGTCTGATGTTGAAAATTCCAAAGAGTCCATCCTTCAGACATGCAACATGCAGTGCACCTATACCCCCACCTAGAAAAGGAAGGAAACATGGTTATGAGAATGGGTGAGTTTTCTTTTCCTCTCTTTCCACATTGTTCATATCATGCAATGATTTTCTAGATTGATTGACCCTTTCTCAGCCATTGTCATTTGCTTTGCTCAGACTTGCTTGCCTTGATGCTAGTGAAGGGCTCGTGATACGTGGAATTGAGATATTGTTCCCTTCCTTAGATCAAACCTGATTATCTCCCATTTTGTAGATGTTGTATGATTATTACAGATTTAGAGCTTCTCCATGAATGTTACAACAATAATATAGTTGCTTATGTGGGGTGAGGATGTTGCAGTTTAGAGGGCCATCTGAGCTGTGAAGTTAATATGCTTCTGCTCAGAGAGATTGAACGATGGCTGTGAATCCAGTTTTTCCTTTTTTAGGTTACTCTACCTTGATGGGATGGTAGATAAGTAAAAAAAAAAGTTGTCATTACACTGACAGTCTTTCAACTTTTTCAGGCATGTTGTAGTAGAAGAATTGTTACCAGGAGTTGGGTGTAATAAAGCCTCATTTAAGTGTCACATAAAGGAAGGATGTTCGCCAAACCAGGAACCCAGTTTACTCGACTGATTGGGCGTCTGCCACTGAGGAGTATCCCCTAAATTTAGTAGGTGCTCCACGAATCTCTCCTGCTGTTAGTTTGTAGCAATATTTCTAATCAGTATTTGCTTAGCCACATTAGACAGACAATGAGTTTAGCATTGTGTGTTGTGGGACATTTTAATTGTACTGAATGAAGTGCATTTTTTCTTCTTTTATACTTGAAAGACATCTGTCGTGAATGGCCATACATGTTACGAGGAATGTTTCTGTGATGCTTAGTATAATTGGTTGTTAAACAGGGAAAAAAAGTTTTGTTTTATCTTGTTATTTAATGACTAATCGTTTGGCAGCCAAATAAAGATAATTGTTTGTTTTCATTATTTAATTATATTGTTTCTTAACAGTCCACCATGGATTTTAATGTTTTTTTTTATATTATTCTTGCACTGATTTAATTTTTTTTACATGTTACTTAGCAAATATGAGCAATTCTGTATGTTTATTCGTGGCAGCCCTTTTTTTTTTTTTTTTTTTTTTTAATTTTGATAGTTTCCTCAGTATCTTGTAATACAGTGGACCCCCGGTTAACGATATTTTGTCATTCCAGAAGTATGTTCAGGTGCCAGTACTGACCGAATTTGTTCGCATAAGGAATATTGCAAAGTAGATTAGTCCATTTCAGACCCCCAAACATACACGTACAAACGCATTTACATAAATACACTTACATAATTGGTCGCATTGGGAGGTGATCATTAAGTGGGGGTCCACTGTACTGTACTTCACATTCACCTCTTTTTAGTGTCCACTTTGACTTAATCTTTCTATGAATATAATATGAATTGTCATATCAACCTCTTATTTTTGCTGCTGTTTTAACCGTTTCATCTTTTTCCACCTTGACTGGGCGATCCAAAGAAGAAAATGTAAATACATTTATTTCCCTCTTTGTCAGTTAATAATTGCTGGGAAAGGGACAACCAGCCCCTGGCATTTTATAACTGCCTTCTGTGACATGCATAACTTAAATGGGAAAAAATTCTAACCCGATTTCCCACATATCTATGGTAGATAAATAATAATAGTTTATTGCAGTGTATATATATATATATATTCTTTCTTTTAATGCACCGGCTGTATCCCACCGAGGCAGGGTGGCCAAAAAGAAAAACGAAAGTTTCTCTTTTTGACTTTAGTAATGTATACAGGAGAAGGGGTTACTAGCCCCTTGCTCCCATATACAGTGGACCCTCGACATTCGATACTAATCCATTCCTGAGAGCTATCGAATGTCGAAAATATCAAAAGTCGAATTAATTTTCCACATAAGAAATAATGGAAATCAAATTAATCCGTGCAAGACACCCAAAAGTATGAAAAAAAAAAAATTTACACATGAAATATTAAGTTTAATGCAATAGAATAATTACAGTAACAACAATAACAATAGATTAATAACAATAGAATAATTGACACTTACCTTTAATGAAGATCTGGTGATGATTGATGGGATGGGAAGAGGGGAGAGTGTGGATGGTGTTAGTGTATAGAAGGGGAATCCCCTTCCATTAGGACTTGAACTGGCAGCCTCACCATGCCTTACCACACTGTGTATGCCACTACGATTCTTAAATCTTTCAAACCAACCTTTGCTGGCCTTAACTTCACTCACATCACCACTAGTTGCAGGCAATTTCTTTACCAAATCATCATGCACTCCAACACATGCACTCCACTTTCGTACTTTGCAATTATCTCTTTCTTCATTTCAATAGTCATTAGCACCTTTTTTCTCGAAGGGTTGACACTAGAAGCGTTCTTGGGGCCCATGGTTGCTTATTTTGCAGAAACAAGCACCAAAAGCAGTGATAATATGGATAATATGGAATGTACCGAATGTATCCTTAGATGCGTGCACACTGGCTGGCTTGTAAACACTGGCACACACGGGGCAGTTCAGGCCACACGTGGACACGTCTCGTACGAATCGTATCGAATGTCGGGTTTTCCATCGAATGTCGAAGCGAAATTTTTGCGTTAAAATGCATCGAATGTCGGATTTATCGAATGTCGATGCCTTCGAATGTTGGGGTCCACTGTATATACATATTTTTTTTTCTTAACTAAAATGCTGGGAGCAAGAGGCTAGTAACCGCTTCTCCTATATCCTGCCTTGGTGAGATACAGCCGGTTTGTTGAAAGATGATGATGTATGTATATTCACTGATTTACTTTTTCATTGGCCTCACAGTAGTTTTATTTTTTTTTGTTTTACAAACAAGAAATAACAAAAATATTTTTTTCACATTTTTCTGTAAACAGATGTTTGTTTTCTTTTTTTCAACAAGTCAGCCATCTCACACCAAGGCAGGGTGCTCAGATATGACAATTCAGAAGTCCCTCCAATATCCCAAACCCCTCCTGTAAAGTGGAGGCATTGTACTTCTCATTTCCAGGACTCAAGTCCAGCTAACTGGTTTCCCTGAATCCCTTCACAAAATATTACCCTGCTCACACTCCAACAGCTCATCAGATCCCAAAAACCATTCGTCTCCATTCACTCCTATCTAACACGCTCACACATGCTTGCTGGAAGTCCAAGCCCCTCACCCACAAAACCTCCTTTACCCCCTCCCTCCAACCTTTTTGAGGACAATTCCTACCCCACCTTCCTTTCCCTACAGATTTATATACTCTCCAAGTCATTGTACTTTGATCCATTCTCTGTAAATAACCAAACCACCTCAACAACCCCTCTTCAGCCCTCTGACTAATACTTTTAGTAACTCACACCTCCTCCTAATTTCCACACTCCGAATTCTCTGCATAATATTTACACCACACATTGCCCTTAGACAGGAAATCTCTACTGCCTCCAGCCGCCTCCTTGCTGCAGCATTTGCAACTCAAGCTTCACACCCATATAAAAGTGTTGGTACCACTATACTTTTGTACATTCCCTTCTTTGCCTCCACGGATGACGTTTTTTTTTTTTTTTTTGTCTCCACAGATACCTTAATGCACCACTCACCTTTTTTCCTTCATCAATTCTATGGGTAACCTCATCCTTCATAAACCCATCCACTGACAAGTCAACTCCCAAATCTCTGAAAACATTTACTTCTTCCATACTCTCTCTCTCTCTCCAATGTGATATCCAATTTTTCTTTATCTAAATCATTTGATACCTTCATCACCTTACTCTTGTCTATGTTTACTTTCAACCTTCTACCTTACACACCCTCCCATACCTTTTTTAGTCCTTCTAATGGTATAATTTCTAAGAAATATATAGTAATAACTGTTAATTTTATTTTTAAGATCTTATCAAATCCAGTGTTTATTCTCATATCTGTTTTATAATGGCAAGTAAATCATTATCCAGTGATCCTTTTATTCCGGTTTTATTACTTGATTTGTTTTGCAATCATTGTTATCCTAAATCTTTTATTGTTACTTTCTAATTTAGACTGGAAATGTTATCTAGTCATAGAATATTAAGGAAAGCTGGAGTAATATCAAATGTTGGTTTTATTTTCATCAGTTTTCATTTTTTATAACAAGTTTTTCTTAGTACTGTAAGCAAGCTTGCAATTATACAAGGGTACCTCCCTTAAAAGAATTTCGTCTGATACAGTAGGTCCTAGGCTTATGATCATCTGACTTATAATCCTCTGACTCATGATCATCCACACTTACAGTTGGGGTAATTTGGATTTAATTAATGACTTATAATCACTGCTCTGCATATAAAATCATTGCAAATATTCAAACAAAATTTTATTGTAACCAGCTAACTCCCACCAAAGAGAGGACCCAGAAAATGGGAAACATATTCACCACCACCCAATATGTTTTTAATTAATTGTTTTTTTTCTGATCTCTTCACCAAAAATACATTGTAGGTTCGTGTATGTTCACTTTATGCTGTGCGAAAAGATCAAAAATTTTTGGGTAGAAATAATTATTTGCATTGTCCTTTTTTGTCACAGCTATCTACGTATTCTAATATTCAGGGATTGACATGTGGGGGCAGTGAGGGGATGGCTCGGTGCCAAGGTGGGGGTTGTACCCACAAGCATGGGGAGAAGGCACCAGCCCTGGGTGGTGGCACTTTAGAGACAAGGTAGGCTACCAGAGGGGGGTTGGGTTTGGTTTGTCTGAAAGTTGGGGGAAGAGGGAAACGCCCCTGGAGGGTGGGGTAGGCCTACTGGTTACTTGGCATAGCCCCTTAAATCCTCTGTCTCGCCAAATTTTGCCCAACCCATTCTTAAAGCTACCCAAAGGGTTAATAATAATAAAAATTAAAAATTCACTGCTAATGCAGAAGGGCTCATACTGTGCTGCACCCTGTGAAAAACTTCATAACCTGCTATCCCAGCCTTGCAAGTCCCTTTTAAAATCCGCCCTTCTTGCTTGTGTATTTTCTTATTTTATTTTAAAGCACCTAAGTTTTTAGTTCAATGACTTAGTTGCTAAATTGCCGAACCATTTAACAAATCTAAAATCCAACTAACTCTTTCTTGGTTTGGGATATCTAAGAATGAAAAAGCAAAGCACACTGATTCAGAAATATGATTGTGAATAAATAATGGGTAAGTGCCCATAGGGCAAAACCCCATTGAAACTCCCTCTATGAAAACCCCCTTACAACCAAGGACAATTTCCCTAAGGAAAAAAACCCCTCAAAAAAAACAAAGAATTCTTTTAGCTGTCCCCTATCCAACAAGATACCCCAAAAAGACTCCAAAACATAAAAAATGCGGTTCTCCCCTAGCCTAATACCCTTACTATTTATCAGTGAGACAGTGAAGAACACATGTAAAATGTGTGGTGAGATGCAATGAGAAGAAGAGCAGGAGGAAGGGAATGTCAAAAGGGGGAAAATAAGGAAATGGAGTAGAGGCTCCTCGATACTAAGCAGTTTTAAGTGTCTTGTTAAAATAAAAGATGAAATTAGGCAGAATATTACGGTTTAAGAGTGTATCTCCAATTACAACATGGATATCTGTGGGAAAATTGGACCAGAGTTCTGGGCACTCGAGTAACGAACCATTTTCTGGAACACATTTGGGTCATATGTGGAGGAACTACTGTATAGGCATATACAAATTTTTTTATATATATTTTTTTTATAAAATTTGTAGATTATTTTCTTATGCTTTTAAAATTAGAAAATTTTTAAAGAGAATGAAGATTTTTAGGAGTGGGTTTATTTATAGCAGTATCTAAAGACAAATCTTTAAGAAGGTTTTTAGTTCGCTAAATTTCTGGAGAAATTTCATCCGAAAGCAAAATACAAAGTTTTTTTTAGTACATTAATAAAAAATAAACAAAATTTGGCCCTTGTGATAAAGGTAACTGTGAAGAATCACTCAATGATAAATGTTCAATAGTAACAAAAATGCCATTAATAACACTGTCTATGTTTATAATATTTTCTTACATGTTTTGCAAGTTTTTACCACTCAAAAATTTTTTAGTATGTATATCTCTTTATTACAGCCCTCTGACCTTTTTCATACTAAATTGCACAGGGAAATAACATACAGTGTTGGAGGATTGATTGTAATATTTTTCTGCAAAATCCCACAACCCCCTTACCCATAGAATATTACTTGCTGGAGCCCTTTTAACCAAGAAATTTTTTTTTAATAACTGCTTGCTGGAATAAGTCACAACAACCCCCATTGGAAGGGAAACTTTAGATAATTTTTTGGCTGTGTAGCCATTAGGAGCACAGAATTGTGACCTACAAAGGGTCGGAGGAAAAAAAACCCCTTTTTCAAAATTTTTCCCCCCAAATTGTGGGTTATTTGTGACTCCTGTAACACAAGAATGAAATTTGAAATGGAAAAGATTTCCCAGTCTTGATTCTCCTTCATTGTTCCCTTTTTTCTACTTTTTGTTTACATTTAAAAAAATGTACAAAAGGAAATTTTATAGATTGAAAATATTCCCCTCCAGAAGAATTTTTGGGGATATTTCTATGTTAGAGAATTAGAAATAAAGGGGTATGTTTTTAATAGAACTCCGTATGTAATCCCCCTAGGCCATGGGTTTATAATGCCAGTAATAACTGTAGTTTAGTTTATTGGATTTCATATAAAAGGGATTTTATATTTAATAATAAAAAAATAAAAGAATAATCTTTCTTTTGGTAAAGAAGCATTTTATATTTGGTCAAAGGGCTAAATATCAAAATCCATTGTACACATGGCATTTTATTTTAGTGGGGGTTTTTTAAGAACATATATATTGAATGCATTTTTAATACCATAGTTTTTTAAAAATATATATTTTTATTTTTTTTTGTTGGAATGTAAGACAAAAAAGAAATCTCCTGGTAATTTAGTTTCTAAAATTTTTTGAATATGATTGATTTCAATTTTGTTTTTTAAAAAAACATTTTTTTCGTATTTCAATTTTGAAAATGTTGCCTTAGACAAGTGTTTTATTAGCATTTGTTAAGCATCCAAAAAAAAAAAATGTGTGAACTGCTGCTAGGTAATAGAGTAATATTGGGAAAATCCTTTTAATTTTTTAAAGTACGTACAAATTTGACCTCAGTTTTAAAAAAAAAATTTAGTTAGTTGTTTAAAATTTTGTAAGGGTCTGCAAAATTTAGTGTTTTTCTTATCTCCATAAAAAATTTAATTTTTAAAGGTATATTGATTTTTTTTTATTGAGTCCATTGTTTTTCTGGGCCCTTTACATATTGAAGAATGTTTCTGTTGTCCCAAAAAGGTCATGTGGTGCCAATGATAAAAGGATGCCTTAAAAATTTTATAGTCTTTTGCTCTGAACAGTGTATTTATATTTTGTGCTCATGTTGTTTGAAAACACTTTAAATGAATTCTAGTTAAATGCCATTCATCATTTCCTTAATAATCTCTATTAATATTTGGTGAAATTTTTTCATGTACATTAAAAATAAGGAATTAGCCAACTCAGGTACAATACAGTTTTATCTCTTCAGAAACACCAATGACACTTCAAACTAACTCCTGTAGTCATAATTGCTCTTGATTTTATAAGTTATGCTAGATGGGATTAGCAAGTTTGAATATAATAAATTAACATCTAATCATCAAATTCTCATCTATTTTTTTTTTTTTTTTTTTTATTATCACACCGGCCGATTCCCACCAAGGCAGGGTGGCCCGAAAAAGAAAAACTTTCACCATCATTCACTCCATCACTGTCTTGCCAGAAGGGTGCTTTACACTACAGTTTTTAAACTGCAACATTAACACCCCTCCTTCAGAGTGCAGGCACTGTACTTCCCATCTCCAGGACTCAAGTCCGGCCTGCCGGTTTCCCTGAATCCCTTCATAAATGTTACTTTGCTCACACTCCAACAGCACGTCAAGTATTAAAAACCATTTGTCTCCATTCACTCCTATCAAACACGCTCACGCATGCCTGCTGGAAGTCCAAGCCCCTCGCACACAAAACCTCCTTTACCCCCTCCCTCCAACCCTTCCTAGGCCGACCCCTACCCCGCCTTCCTTCCACTACAGACTGATACACTCTTGAAGTCATTCTGTTTCGCTCCATTCTCTCTACATGTCCGAACCACCTCAACAACCCTTCCTCAGCCCTCTGGACAACAGTTTTGGTAATCCCGCACCTCCTCCTAACTTCCAAACTACGAATTCTCTGCATTATATTCACACCACACATTGCCCTCAGACATGACATCTCCACTGCCTCCAGCCTTCTCCTCGCTGCAACATTCATCACCCCACGCTTCACACCCATATAAGAGCGTTGGTAAAACTATACTCTCATACATTCCCCTCTTTGCCTCCAAGGACAAAGTTCTTTGTCTCCACAGACTCCTAAGTGCACCACTCACTCTTTTTCCCTCATCAATTCTATGATTCACCTCATCTTTCATAGACCCATCCGCTGACACGTCCACTCCCAAATATCTGAATACGTTCACCTCCTCCATACTCTCTCCCTCCAATCTGATATTCAATCTTTCATCACCTAATCTTTTTGTTATCCTCATAACCTTACTCTTTCCTGTATTCACCTTTAATTTTCTTCTTTTTGCACACCCTACCAAATTCATCCACCAATCTCTGCAATTTCTCTTCAGAATCTCCCAAGAGCACAGTGTCATCAGAAAAGAGCAGCTGTGACAACTCCCACTTTGGTGTGGATTCTTTATCTTTTAACTCCACGCCTCTTGCCAAGACCCTCGCATTTTCTTCTCTTACAACCCCATCTATAAATATATTAAACAACCACGGTGACATCACACATCCTTGTCTAAGGCCTACTTTTACTGGGAAAAAATTCCCCTCTTTCCTACATACTCTAAAATTGAGCCTCACTATCCTCGTAAAAACTCTTCACTGCTTTCAGTAACCTACCTCCTACACCATACACTTGCAACATCTGCCACATTGGCCCCCCTATCCACCCTGTCATACGCCTTTTCCAAATCCATAAAATGCCACAAAGACCTCTTTAGCCTTATCTAAATACTGTTCACTATATGTTTCCACTGTAAACACCTGTCCACACACCCCCTACCTTTCCTAAAGCCTCCTTGTTCATCTGCTATCCTATTCCCCCGTCTACTCCTTAATTCTTTCAATTATAACTCTACCATACACTTTACCAGGTACACTCAACAGACTTATCCCCCTATAATTTTTGCACTCTCTTTTATCCCCTTTGCCTTTATACAAAGGAACTATGCATGCTCTCCCGCCAATCCCTAGGTACCTTACCCTCTTCCATACATTTATTAAATAATTGCACCAACCACTCCAAAACTATATCCCCACCTGCTTTTAACATTTCTATCTTTATCCCATCAATCCCGGCTGCCTTACCCCCTTTCATTTTACCTACTGCCTCACGAACTTCCCCCACACTCACAACTGACTCTTCCTCACTCCTACAAGATGTTATTCCTCCTTGCCCTATACACGAAATCACAGCTTCCCTATCTTCATCAACATTTAACAATTCCTCAAAATATTCCTTCATCTTCCCAATACCTCTAACTCTCCATTTAATAACTCTCCTCTCCTATTTTTAACTGACAAATCCATTTGTTCTCTAGGCTTTCTTAACTTGTTAATCTCACTCCAAAACTTTTTCTTATTTTCAACAAAATTTGTTGATAACATCTCACCCACTCTCTCATTTGCTCTCTTTTTACATTGCTTCACCACTCTCTTAACTTCTCTCTTTTTCTCCATATACTCTTCCCTCCTTGCATCACTTCTACTTTGTAAAAACTTCTCATATGCTAACTTTTTCTCCCTTACTACTCTCTTTACATCATCATTCCACCAATCGCTCCTCTTCCCTCCTGCACCCACTTTCCTGTAACCACAAACTTCTGCTGAACACTCTAACACTACATTTTTAAACCTACCCCATACCTCTTCGCACCCCATTGCCTATGCTCTCATTAGCCCATCTATCCTCCAATAGCTGTTTATATCTTACCCTAACTGCCTCCTCTTTTAGTTTATAAACCTTTACCTCTCTCCTTCCCTGATGCTTCTATTCTCCTTGTATCCCATCTACCTTTTACTCTCAGTGTAGCTACAACTAGAAAGTGATCTGATATATCTGTGGCCCCTCTATAAACATGTACATCCTGAAGTCTACTCAACAGTCTTTTATCTACCAATACATAATCCAACAAACTACTGTCATTTCGCCCTACATCATATCGTGTATACTTATTTATCCTCTGTTTCTTAAAATATGTATTACCTATAACTAAACCCCTTTCTATACAAAGTTCAATCAAAGGGCTCCCATTATCATTTACACCTGGCACCCCAAACTTACCTACCACACCCTCTCTAAAAGTTTCTCCTACTTTAGCATTCAAGTCCCCTACCACAATTACTCTCTCACTTGGTTCAAAGGCTCCTATACATTCACTTAACATCTCCCAAAATCTCTCTCTCTCCTCTGCATTCCTCTCTTCTCCAGGTGCATACACGCTTATTATGACCCACTTCTCGCATCCAACCTTTACTTTAATCCACATAATTCTTGAATTTACACATTCATATTCTCTTTTCTCCTTCCATAACTGATCATTTAACATTACTGCTACCCCTTCCTTTGCTCTAACTCTCTCAGATACTCCAGATTTAATCCCATTTATTTCCCCCCACTGAAACTCTCCTACCCCCTTCAGCTTTGTTTCGCTTAGGGCCAGGACATCCAACTTCTTTTCATTCATAACATCAGCAATCATCTGTTTCTTGTCATCCGCACTACATCCACGCACATTTAAGCAACCCAGTTTTATAAAGTTTTTCTTCTTCTCTTTTTTAGTAATTGTATACATCTAACCTACACAAATGTAGTGACAGTAGATAATAGTGTTGATGTTGCTAACTCAGATATGAAGGGTAACCCAGTATTTCTCCAGCCTTGTAAAAATATAAAGAAATCAAAATGCCTATACATTCATGCCAGAAGCTTAGTAAATAGATGTCATGCATTATATGCATATGCAGATGCAGACATTACTGTAAGTGAAACATGAGGCAAGAAAATGCATGGAACAGTAACTTGTCCATCTAGAATAACACCCACAATATAAAAAAAAAATTAAGAGCAGTAGTGTAATACTGTACATTAAAGAAAACTTTACTTTAATCTGCACTGTGGTTTAGCACTTAATTTTATTATTATTAACCTACAGTGAAGAGTTATATAACACAGACCATTCATAAATATTTCAGTGTAATACAGTGGTAGGTTATTATTACAGTACAACCTTTTGTGTGTTCAAAATGTTTTAATGTATAAATACTTCAGTTATTGTGCATTGAAGGTGCTCCTCTTTCTGAGTAGATTTTTATCAAAGTTTTTTCATGGAGAAATGAACATTGAAGGGCCTTGTGAATAGTCCCATGATTAGCTGGATGAGAAATGCCATGATATCAGTTAAGGTGAAGCATGCTAACAAAGGGCTTTTTCCAATCATTGTAAGCCAGTGGGCACTGCTACCAAACTTTCTCATGTGTGTCCTTGGGCACTTAGTTCCAGGCCATGATGAGGCCTCAGTGTCAGTGTTATACTGTATCACCTTTGACCTGTATATTGTGTACGCATTTGTTCTGTCTGAAATAGTTGTTACATCACCTTTCATTTCCTGCTACCTAGTTCAGCCTTACAATGGCCACTGATGGCAGTAGATGTCTTACATCTACCACTCTTCTCTTCTAATGTTTTTTTCAGGACGGGTGCTTTAATGATGGACTCTTGATCCAAAGAGTAGGTTCTACCCTCCATTTCCTCAAATCAAACCTGAGAATCTCCCATTCACTAGGTGGTGTATGATCTCTACAGTGCATCATCCGTGTCATGCTGCACTGAATTACCTTCACAGATTTAAAACTTCTTGAATTTTATACTTATTGAGTAAGCTGTACACCAAGTCTCCAACAAAATAGGCTTTACTGTGTTCTTAACTAATCTCAAATGTTTATTTAGACTCATATGTAGTTTGAAAGAAAAACCCATAGAATCTCAGCTGTAAGGTAAATCTTCATAATTCACAACTAACCCACAGTTTGGAGAAGAAATTTTATTTTGAGGGCGCTTTGCGAATTGTTACAGCTACGGTATTGTGACTGACTGGTATTTTTCAGCAAAGTCATTTGTTTCCAAGTGTTAGTGAATTTCTTCCAAAACTACAACTCTGGCTGTACTTCAACAGCCCATTCTTATTGACAAATATTTCTCTCGTAAGGTAAGAATAATACTTCAAACCTTTACCAATACAGTCATACCCCACTTTACATTATTTCGGCGTACATCAAATTTGCCTTTACACCACTTTTCTAGAGTAAATTTCAGTTCAGTGAACAACATTATGTCCGACTTTGCATCAGTCAGCAGTGTCACCTACTTCGTAACTTTTTAACTGTGTTCATTATTCTTTAAAAAATATGACTAAAACGTGTTATTAGTGTTCTTTAAGGTTTAGCAATAGTTTAATTCTTTTGCGAGTTATTTATGCTAGTTTTACAGTTTATCATTTGAAGGCATTATGTCCAGTTTACGTCAAAAACCGGGTTACATCATTTAATGACGTAGGGTGGGGTATGACTGTATATATATGCTTTACAGTATGGTACATCTTTCTAAAGAAATAAATTCATCAGATAATTTATATTATGCATTAAATAATAATAAAACATGAGCACCATGGGTAATCTTTTACATATAACAATACACTATTTGTATTTGATCAGAAGTAGGTGGAATTTGCTTCTTCAGACATAGACATAGAAAACTACTGTAATGTCTGTCATTCTAACTTTTAAGTTCATTATCTGGCATCTTTTAAAAACATGTTGCAGGGGGTCATGTGGACAAAAAAAGTACAAACCTAAAGACATTTATTTAAAATGTAAAAAGTTAATGGATCTTGCTTTGTAATCTGAGAGACATGAAGGAATGGCCAAGTCCTCTTGCTTCTTGTCTACATGTTTCACTTGGCTAGAAATTACCATAAAATAATGATTGTAAAAGTCACATATTTGCACAGGCCAAAATTAAATTTCCCTTGAAACACTGTTTTAAAAGTATCCTCGATGTAAAGTATCCTAAACTTAAGCAGTGTAAAGAAACTTCCCTCTGTAACTTCTTAAATGCAAGTAATATTTTGTTTGATATATTGATAGTTTCCCCACCAAGTTAAGGTGACCTAAAATCAACAGATTTATTATTCATAGAGCACGTTTCCAGACACTTAAGGTTCAGTTACTCATGAGATAAAGACAATAGTGCATTTTTCAGGTTTTATAAAGATAATTTTGTGTGTTGGGTGATAAACTGAAATGTTTCACTCAGTTTATCATTCACTTAATAAAAGTGATGCTGACTATTTGTTATTAAAAATATTGGAAGGTTTTCCTGAGAGCTAATGTTAGCCTTCTCCATGCTGAGTGTAAGGTATTTAAATACAGTGGTACCTCAGGATACCAACTAAATTCGTTCCAGAAGGCTGTTCGAGTGCCGATACCGAACGAATTTGTTTCCGTAAGGAATAATGTAAATTAGATTAATCCATTTCAGATCCTCAAAAATACACTTGCAAAAGTACTTACATAAATACACTTACATAATTGTTAGAGTTTTGAGCTGTTCATATCCTGAGGTACCACTGTAATTGTAGCTTCAGAATTATTGAGTCAGTTTAAATGTGACTTTATGTTAATGTGTATGGTTGCAGTCTGCCATCATTAATGTTACAAGTGAGAATTTTAGACTAATGTACAGTGACCCTTTCCATATTTTATTAATAGTGTTACATTCTTAGTAAAATAATAACTGTAATATCTTCTTGGGAGTTAATGTCCCATTGAAGCAAGCTCTTATATTTTTTAAGGAAAAAAATGCATTCTGCTCCAAAGGCAGATGATGGTAATTACAATGGTACATTATTTGTCAGGTACCATAATTTACTGTACTAAAAATCAATAGAATACTTGTGTCTTTCTGTAATGGACATACAGCATTGCTATATTTTGTTAAAATGCTAAAAATATACTTTTTATAGTTTAACATTAGTTATTTCCCATTTTTCAGTCCAAAAAAAATTCACAGATGGATGTTAGTCAAAAGTGTTGATGGCAGAATGTATTGACATGTCAGAATACAGAATCTGCTAGCTTTTCATGGACAGTGATAGGCTTTCACTCTTTCCACAAAAGCTGAGCAAATTTTTCCATAGTGTAAGAGGCTTGAGCTGATGCATTGATCCATCTGACAATGCTGATGATTGTCCTTGAGTAGGAATGGTAGGAGACACCTCCCTTGCTGCTTTAATTTTTCATGAAAGCAAATATTTTCTTCCAAAGATTGAAATGAATTCACAAAAATGATAATACATTACCTCAGGGATAGTAAAGCTTAAATTAAAAAAAAAAACGATTAATTATTTGTTTTAAAATGCTTATATAAGATACAACGCTCTAGTACAGGCATATTCAGAATTCTCCCCAATTCAGAAAATTTAATATTGAATCTCGAGTGATCACCAGAATTCTGAATTTTCCGAATTAAAAACTTGACTGAATTGGAGAATAATTTTGAAATTAATTTAGGGTTTTCTAAATAATAAATACCTCTCAGAAACTGGGAATGTAATATTCTTAGACATTATGACATGTTAATAGGAAAGCAGAATTCTGAATTTTGAAGAAAATGTCTAATTCAGATTTGCTCAGAGTAGAGAGAATATTTAAAGATAAAAATATTATTTAAAAAAAAAAAAAAACTGAATTTTTCCAGTAAGAGCAAAAAATTTTAAATTTTATTTCAGGAATTTTTTTTTTTCTATAAAATAAAGAAATCACTGTATACATGAATAATATGGAAATAACTGCTGATACTATAAATGATAAAATATGAAATTTTTATTTTTTCCTGCACCTTACTTTTTACTTATGGTCTCTTGTTCTTTATGATTATAGTAACAAGAGATTAATTATTTTCTTGGGTCTTTTTCCAAACTTCATAATCATATATATACAATGTGTATGTGTGCTTTCACATGAATAATGCTAACAAAGTTATGCATGTATTACAAATTTGTACAAATATACCCAAGGTGAAGTTGTGTCGAGCAGACTCCTACTGCTTGTAGTGCTTGTTGTAAGCGTAGACCCCAGCAAAAGTGAGGGCGATTGAGATGACTAGCATAGAGCATGCCAGGCCTGCCATGTCACCTGGAGATGAGAAGAATATGTGATTTTACTAATGGTACCTTGCTATCATCTTACTCATGTCATTTTCACTGCCTTTATCAGGCTACCTCACTAGTCATCTCACTCATATTACCTCATTAATGGCACCTTAGTCTTCCCATCTCATTCCTGTCACTTCACTCATGTCATCCCACCTTTAGTACCTTGCTTATGAAACATCTCATGTTAACCTGTTCATGCAATTTCACAAATTGGGATAGAAAACACCTGTTACATTCCTGTACATATACATTTCAAACATTTTATATTATACTTATATTAAAAAGGAGTGCAAATATAAATGAAGCCAAATAAATACAGAATTGCACATATAAAATCCACACAAGCATTCATACCGTGTGTGCACACAAATATGCAGAAATGCAAGTGTCTGTCTTTGTACATCCACTATAGTACACTTGCTTAGTGCTATTTTTAACTATTTTTCTTATTAGACTAGTCTAACTTATGGACAACAGTGGCTAATAGACTGGCCTGTCCTGTGGCTAAAGAATAATCAGATTAACAGATTGACTAAATCCTTAATAATGATTGATCTGACCTTTGACTAATTACATGACATGACCTGTGAATATTGGTATTGATGGACTTTACTTACCGCTAACAAAATGACCTGTCTGTGGCTATCAGACTAATCCGACCTATGGATACTGACTGATTAGATCTATAACCAACGGATTGATTTAATCTGTAACTGCTGACCAACCTGGACCATAGATGTACTTGCTGGGATCCTTTTTTCTGTTGGCGTGTGAATCTCTGTCATCACCCTCGTAATATTCCCCTGCACAAGAAACATTTGTCAACTCAAAGTAAAATTTCTCACAAAACCAAAAGTTTGTGGTTAATAATGGCAAAAGGCAGTAAATTGAAAATTGTTTTCAGAAAATATGTTTTTAGCCTGGATTTAGTGCCTTCATATGAATATAATAATTTACTCCAAGTCAGTAACAATGGAAAAATGAAATGTGCACGGATAGGGTTAATACTTAATCAAAGTGGAGTTAGAGGCAACTTTCTCTTCCTTGAATCACACATGCTGTGCTTCCCATTCCCTGGGCACTGTATAAACCATAGGTTTGAAATTTCCCTTGAATGTAATAACAGTAATAAAAATATGCGAATAATAAACAGCCAGGTTTGTTGAGTAGTGCTAGTACTCACTGGAGTAGTGGTTGCAAGTGGGGGAGTTAGTGATGACAATGCCAGCATCAGAGTAGTGAGCCGAGGTGAGGAAGCAGGTAATAGACCCAGGCTCAGTGCAGTAGTCAAACCCATTGCACCCGAAGTCTGGCTCATCCTCACACACCTGCACCAACACAAGATGGTTACTACATATCCCTTTTAAGGAGAAGGGGTGTCTTTATACTACATTGATCCTTTATCCCTTCCTTGGATCAAACCTGATTACCTCCTAATCCCCAGTCATTATGGTTTAGTGTTTCCTCATGAATTCAGTATAACAACACTGACCTGATGTTGGAGTCTGGGCAAGATAAAATTTATGAAGGGATTTAGGGAAACCAGTTGGACCAACTTGAGTCCTTGAGGTCTAAAGTACAGTGCTTGCACTCTTAACCCTTTGAGGGTTTCGGACGTACTAGTACGGCTTACGACCCAGGGTTTTTGATGTACTAGTACGCCTAAATTCTAGCGCCCTCAAATCTAGTGGGAGAAAGCTGGTATGCCTTCATATGAAAGAATGGGTCTATGTGGTCAGTGTGCACAGTCTAAAAAAAATCCTGCAGCACACAGTGCGTAATGAGAAAAAAAAAACTTTGACCATTTTTTTGGAATAAAACAGCGACTTTGCACTGTATTTTCGTATGGTATTTATTGTTGTATTCTAGTTTTCTTGGTCTCATTTTATAGAATGGAAGACATATTACAGAAATTGAGATGATTTTGACTGGTTTTACAATGAAAGGTACCTTGAAATTGAGCTCAAAGTAGCAGAAATGTTCGATTTTTACCAAATTTCAAAAGTAAACAAATCGTGCCAAGCGTGCAATACACGTCAACTGGTGAGTCTAATATTCTTTCACAAGTGCACCAATAATATTTATACCATTTTTTACACTAATGCAGCAGTCTGCATAACAGTAAATCTTATATTTTTTGTGAGAATAAAAATTCAAAGTGGAAAGCAAAAGAATATAAGAGGGGCCTTGAGACGTGACTAATGACCAGAGGAAATGTCATTTTAGTGCCAGGAATGTCTTTCTTGTTTATTCTGGACCCTATTCGGAAATTGGCATCTTTTGAAATTTGTGTGAAATTGGCAAAATTGCTAAATTCTGACCACTGTACTGGATAGTTGAATTTCATAAATGGGTGGTTTCTTGCACCCATTCGATAGAAAAAATGGAGTTTTGGCGAAATATTCATGTTTTTTGTCAACTAGTACAGTGGAATTGGCCGAAAATGGGGCTCAAAGTGGGCAAAATCGCCGATGCGTAAACATCACCGAGACCGCTAACTTTGCGAGAGCATAATTCCGTAAGTTTTCCATCAAATTTCAAACTTTTGGTGTCCTTATGATCGGGAAAAGATTCTCTATCTTTTCATAAGAGAAAATAATTTTTTTTTTTTTAAATTTGGCCGACCCTGAGAACGAGTTTCGGAGAGGGCCTGTCGACCCTCAAAGGGTTAAGGAGAGGTGGGGATGATGCAGTTCGGAGGGTCATCTGAACTGTGATGCCAGCACCCTTCTAGCAAGAGTGATTGAATGACAGAGCGAAAGTGTTTTCTTCTCTGTTGGGTCACCTTACCTCATTGGGAAATGGCAGGTTAAAAAAAAAAAAAACACTGACCTGAGCACACTGGGTAACAGAGATATCCTTAACATAGCGGTCACGGTTACCAGCCAGGACCTGCTTCTCATGCTTCTCGAAGTCCACCAAGGCATTACCTTCAGTCAAAGACATTAATACACTAACATTTAATTAAATATATTGTAATATAATAATTTAGAATTTTTATTCTTGAGCTCATGTTCTTTCAAGTGCTTGCACACCAAGTCATAAATGCAACAGCAATGAAGAAGAAATAATAAGTTTATACTCAAGTGACAGTACGATCACCAGGACCAGAAGCTCTAGGAAAGATGTGCTGTCTACTGAGACTTGAAAGCATGAACAATTTTCTGATTGTAAAATAGACTGACAACCTGTGGAACACTATAAGCTACAAAAGAAAAGGCTTTGCAAATTATTTCTCCAACAGCGCAATGCTTAATCAGTCTGAGAGGGTCTACTGCAGGCAGTAGAAACATTCCCAAGTCTCGTGTAAAAGGTAAAAGCATTGTAGCAAGATGCTTGGGTTCATTAACTGTAATAGCTGTAAATGTTAATAAACATTTTAAATTTAAGTAACTAACACTTCTGGCAGAAACAGCAGCTGAATGAATGATGGTGAAAACATTTCCTCTTATCAACCCTGAATGCCAACAATTCCCAAGGAGATACAGGTTTAGCCTCTTCAAGGAGGGGCTCCTTGGCACTGTGAAGAGGCTCTTGATTTGAGGAATTAGACCTTTTGGTCTCCTTCCTCAGACCTAACCTAATTACCTCCCAATCCCCTATTCCCTATCCCATCCCCCCCTTTCCTTTTCCTCCCCCCCTCCCATCCCTCCCTTTTCCCCATTTCATTTGTAGCCTCAGGTCCTCCCCTCTGGCATTAAGGTTTCTAGGTAGGGGGAAGTGTGCCAGAGTTCATCCCGCTCCGTGGGGTTCCTCGGGAGTGGTGTAGTTTGCCATGGAATCTGGATCACCTGGAGGTGCCTTGCTCCCTTTCTGGTTTTCCAAGAGGTGGGGCATGGTGTCCTGCAGGTGACGGGTATCTCCAGAGGCTGCCTGTCGGTTTGGTGAGTAAGATGTGCAACACCTGGGTATCTTTATAGGCTGAGGGACTGATCACCTCAAAATTATTGCTTCTAATATCTCCAGTGTTATATTTGACTGAAGACAGAAGATTACTTACGTGCATAATGGACACAGTCAGCGTAAGAGTGGTTGAGCTTGTCTGGGACATCAATGGAGTGCTCCTCGAAGAGATTGCAAGTGTTGTCTTGACTACAGAAGTCAAAAGACCTGTTAGATTAGACCAATGTTACTCTTAGTACCACACCTGTACCTCACCACCACACCTGTACCCTTCAGTCCCTTCGAGGTGGGTGCCTTATGCAGGTTTAAGGCTTTTGATCCAACTATAACTCACCCTCTTAATTAAACCTGATTACCTCTCAATCCCCAGATGCTATATGACCCCCCCCCCCCCCCAAAAAAAAAAAAAATGTTGGGAGTTTCCCCAATAACAATAAATATAATGATAATAATAAACAACCTGCAGGTGAAGGCAGTAGAGTTGTCACAGTAGAAAGCACACTTCTCTGGCCCCGTGGTGTGTGTGCTGGCCTTCGGGGTTCCAAGGAAGACTGTGCCATCCATCTTGTCGTAGTCATTGGTATGGCTGCCTGTGGGCACAACACACTTGTATTGGCACATCACACATAAGTTTAGTGTTTTATTATGAATTTGAGCACACATACAGAGGTACAAAAAAATACAGATAAGAGCAGCATGCCAAAGCCACTTATACTATGCATAGCATTACGGGCTGGCTTAAAATTAACTTAAGATTAACTAAGCAATGATGAAATCAGTGATAAAACATTAATGTAAACAGATTACTATAAAGCACAAGTGAGTATTACAAAGACAGGTCATATGGTTGCATGCATTGTTGTACATTCAGTCGTATGAAGTATTCTGTTAGGTAGTGTATTTAAAAAATAAAGTTCGATTCGGTTTTAGGTTTAACATTTATGTGATATAATTGTGAGAAACATTTAAGATATACAATTTATAAGGTTCAGTTATTCAGTATTTGGTTTTGGGTGAGTAAGTGATCTTTGAGAAGAGACTTGAATTTATAAACAGGTAGTGTTTCTTTTATATTTACAGGTAATGAATTCCAGATTTTAGGGCCTTTTATGTGCATTGAGTTTTTGCATAGTGTGAGATGGACACGAGGAACATCAAAGAGTGATAATATCTAACTCAAAGAGGATAAAGCAGAATAGGATGACCAGAAGGGTATATAAATCTGGGGTGGAAGGGAGGAGGGGGTTGTCTAAGGAGAGTTCTAGGGAATAAGGGAGGTTTTGAGTGCTAGGGGTTTTAGCATACAACAGGCTTGTGTGAGCACGTTAATTCAGAGTTCCTACAAGTTGTTTTAGCATCTGACGTGCTGTTGGCATGTGAGCAAAGTGACAATTTATGAAGGGATACAAGTAAGCCAGTTAGCTGGACTCCAGTCCTAGAGGCACAAAGTACAGTACCTGAACTCTGAAATAGGGAAGATGGATGATCCAGTTCAGAGAATTACTTAAATCGTGATTCCTGTGCACTTCTGGCAAGGGGGCAGTTGAATGAGTGATGCTGAATGTTTTTCATTTTTTGAGTAACCCTACCCTGGCAGTAGACGAGGTAAAATAATGATGATAATTAAAATAATAACAGTTTCAGTACTAATAACAAGTAGCAGGTAAATGTTGCAAAGCAAGTTAATTAACACAATAAGGAGGGATGTGGGGGACTTACGACTGATGATGACACAGTTAGTCTTCCTGACGACTTCGCTGTTAGGCACAGGAGAGTCAACTACAAAGGATGATAGGGAACAGGTACTGTCATCATAGCAGTAGGAGAAAGTCTCACAGTCGAAGGCTCTCTCTTGAAGGCAGCTTGCCAGGCACAAGTCATAGCTCACCTGCAGTAATTTTGTATTAAAGTTGGTAGAATTACCAACATTGTTAGGTAAAATGACAAGTGCAACTAATGTGACGTTTTACTGTGGTAACGTTTTGCTCTCCAAGAGCTTTATCAAGTTCCTGGAGAGCGAAACATTGACACAATAAAATGTCACATTTTATTGTCAATTTGTGTCCTTTTACATAACTAATTTTGTAATTACTTGGCACGCATGTAATAAGTTTTTACAGTGATCCTGGGGGCAGAGGTGTTATGTGCATGCATATATTATATATATACAGATGTTATATGCACAGGTGTTATGGTCAGACATTGACCCTTGTGGGCTTAGCACTTATGATGATGATGATAATCATACGGGCAGACTCATTCATAGTACACATGTATGTATATACGGATTGTAACTAGGTTAACCCAGTAAAGTTAATATATTTTTTCTATTGGTTCTGTGCTTTACTGTTGGGAACTATTAATTGAAGTCCCACCATAGAGCATCTGCATGCTGATGAAGGGCTCCTTATCTGAGGAACTGGAGTTACACTCCATTTTTCTCACATCAAACACTATTACATCCCATTCTCAAAAATGCTGTATGCATGAATCCTGAATTTTATTACTTCCCTGTTGGATATAATAATACAGTAATAATATAGAATGTGAGTACAGGTGGTGTACTGAAAGAGAAAGACTGAGACAATATACAGTGGACCCCCGGTTAACGATATTTTTTCACTCCAGAAGCATGTTCAGGTGCCAGTACTGACCGAATTTGTTCCCATAAGAAATATTGTGAAGTAGATAAGTCCATTTCAGACCCCCAAACATACACGTACAAACGCACTTACATAAATACACTTACATAATTGGTCACATTCGGAGGTAATCGTTATGCGGGGGTCCACTGTAGTAAGAGTGTTGGATTACTGCTGGAAAAATACAGGTGATATTTTCTAAAAACAAATTGGAAATGAAACCCAAATGTCTTGGTCCTTCCTGGACTGTTACTTGCTACTTAACAATGGTTGAGAATGGACCGAAATATAGTTCATTTTGTGAGGTTTTGAAGAGTGACCCGTCAAGAAAGGTTTCTCAATGCAGTTGAAGTTCTCTTGATCCAATGAATTGAACCTCACCTTCCCCTTCCTTGGCTCTAACCTGACAGCTTCCTGCCTGATAGCCTCCCATTACCCAGGAGCTGTGTGACTCCTACTGGCTTGATAGTGGCACTGATGAAACATAACGTGAACAATGATAGAAGCAATGACCTTGTTTAGCTGCAGGTCGGTGTACTGGGCCTGCAGCTTGCCATGGATGAAGGCCATCTGAAAGTCTTCTCTAATTAGGTCCACCAGGATGGGGTCGTCAGGCATCAAGATTTCCTCCACAAAAGTGGCATTGTATATTCCAGTCTTTGTCTGTATATAAATAATTTTTTTATTTAGCAAATTGTTAGATAGTTTAATAATAATAAGTTGTACAAGTACAAGGTATAAAAGGCCTAGCTGACATCAATGACATACTATTATATGTATAGAAATCCCCTTGTTATGCAGAACACTCTAGGCAAATTAGGTCAATTTTGTCCCCAGGATGCGATTCGCATCAGTCAACTAACACTCAGGTGAACAGGGACAGCAGGTGTCTTAAGGAAACATGTCCTAACGTTTCCACCCATACCAGGGATTGAACCGTGGACTTCAATGTGTGAGCTGAGCGTGCTAGCAATCGAGCTATGGGTTCATTATGCTCTCCTTACCTATCCAGTGAGCAGTAGTTCGAAACTTTGAGGGCTGGGTAGCAATGTTGTGATGGCTAAGCAAGTTACAGTGTTCATTAATGATCTGATAATTGTAATGATTTTTTTATACAGACATAAGTTCGGTCACGAAGAGTAGCACAACGTAATTTATTTTATTTTGTTATGACGGGTATAGCATAGACTTTGCACAATGGTACACTATGTGTATTATGTCCACATTGTTCTTTTACTTATGTCTGTTGTAACATTTTGCAGATAAATACCTTGGATTTTGAATACAGTATTTCATCACACAGGATGGGTTTCATATATGGTGTTAAAATATTTCAGCCTAGGTGGGGAGTTTCAATGAAAATACTTGATTGAACACTTTTATTTCCTCCAAGAGTAGAAGGATGCTGGTAAATGGCTTTTGATCTGAGGAATCTGTGCTACATTCCCGTTCCTCGAGTCAAAACCTGATTATATACCTCCCATTCACTAAATGCTCACTACCCTCATGGTTTTCACTGCATGTCCATGAATATAATACATGTACTGTTACTACTACAGTGGGTTTAGCACTTATATTTGATTGTACTACCACCACTAATATTACTAATAAAATAAATTTTACTAATGGTAGTTCAAACTACAACAGAACAGTAGTGAAAGCAATCAGCAGACTTACTTGTCCGCCAATATCTTGATATTTGATCCTGAGAACGAAGATCCCCATGGACACCTGGCCGTCAAGCCATAGGAGAACTTCATCATTGGTCTTTTGTATCTTGGTGTTCTTGATCAGAGCCTTTTTGTAGTGGGAGCAGTTCTTGGGGATGTCCACGAAGTTCCCAGGAGAGTCCTTGTAGTTGCTCACGAAGCAGTTCTTATTCAAATCCTGACACTCGTAGAAGGACCTATCGAGGAATGCGATCAATGGTGCGAAATGCATTGCATATTAATGGCTTTTCTTCGTTCCTGTGTTTTATTACATGTAAACTACGGTATTTGTGCTGCATAAAGAACTGAAAATTGTATTGCATTGTATGTATTTTCAAGCTTGAATATATTTGAGTAGGAAATTCAAAGATGGTATAAGCAGGGAAGAAAAAGCCCACACTGGGCTTTACTGCCCACAGTGGAGATTTATCACCCACGCAAATAACCCGCACATAGAAGAGAGGAGCTTATAACAGCATTTCGGTCCGACTTGGTCCAAGTTGGACCGAAACGTCGTCGTAAGCTCCTCTCTTCTATGTGCGGGTTATTTGTGTATCGTTCCAGTCACAGTATTGTGCTTTTTTTGTTATCACCCACTATGGGGCCTTATCAAGTAGAAAACAAGGATTTTTCTGCCTAAAATGGAGTAAGTAAATTAAAGACGTGAGAAGTTTCTTGATGCATGGAACTGATACTTGGATATTTGATATACAAGCCCTTCAACAGATGGTGCCATGATGCTAGTGAATGGTTCTTGATCGAACGAATGGGTTATATACAATTATCCCTTAGAATGAGCCTGGTTACCTGTCATTTCCCAGGCAAAGAGCGAGACTTACAGGTTCAGCGCTTCCATTTATGCTCCATTCAAATCTCACCTGACCTGACCTAACATTTGCTGAGAAATCACAAGAACAAATTATGACATGAGACAAGTGTTTTATCAAGATGTTATAGGTACATACATATGTGACTTATGGCTAATGGCCACACTAGCATGCTGCACTGTGGCTTGTACAATGATGGGATCCAATTTATGTAAATAAACAGAGTAGTCAACATGCTGATGATAGGGAAAGGTTGAATATTAATATAACTTACACACACTGGAACCTGACATAACGTAGACACTGCAGGGCACACTCGTCAACGTCTTCTATGGACATTTCCAGCTGTGTGAAGACCACTCGCACATTATTATTATTATTCACTCAGGCATAATTAATATTCACACAGGCATTATTATTCACTCAATTGTATAAATTTTATTTATCATAGGCATTCATGGGGGTGTTTTAATATTGGTAAAGGGGCTCATGATCCGAGTATCTGGAACTCTCCTTCCATCCCTTGCATCAAACCTAATGATTTCCAATTTACCAGGCTTTGTGTTTTTCTGATCCACATAATTTGTTATATTGCATTTATGTTGTGCCTAACATGAGCTGAAATTTGCATACCTAATAATATTTACCTTGCACTGTTAGGTTGTGTTTGCTGGTGTGACAAAGTCTGTTGTGAAGCTAATGAAACAGAAAAATATCACACCAATGCCATCAACATGGCATTGTGAATGGAGATGAATGGTATTTGGGACCTGACGAGCTGTTGGAGTGTGAACAGGGTAATATTTAGTGAAGGCATTCAGGGAAACCGGTTATTTTTATATAGCTGGACTTGAGTCCTGGAAATGGGAAGTACAATGCCTGCGCTTTAAAGGAGGGGTTTGGGATATTAGCAGCTGGGAGGGATATGTTGTGTAATTTTATAACTATATGCTTCTAAACTGTTGTATTCTGAGCACCTCTGCAAAAACAGTGATTATGTGTGAGGTGAGTGTTGAATGATGATGTAAGTATTATCTTTTTGGGGATTTTCTTTCTTTTTTGGGTCACCCTGCCTCGGTGGGAGACAGTCGACTTGTCGAAGAAAATTATATATATATATATATATATATATATATACATACATGCAATAAGATCACAGTAAACAGGTGATTTCAAAATATGCAAAACAACCACTCTGAAAGAATAGAGAAATTCCAAGCGCTTTCGTGACTACTCAATGTGAGTAGTCACGAAAGCGCTTGGAATTTCTCTATTCTTTCAGAGTGGTTGTTTTGCATATATATATGCAAATATATATATAATATATATATATATATATATATATATATATATATATATATATATATATATATATATATATATATATATATATATATATATATATATATATATATATATATATATATATATATATATATATATATATATATATAAAATTTTCGACAAGTCGACTGTCTCCCACCAAGGCAGGGTGGCCCAAAAAGAAAAATTAAAGTTTCTCTTTTTAAATTTAGTAATTTATACAGGAGAAGAGGTTACTAGCCCCATGCTCCGGGCATTTTAGTCGCCTCTTACAACACGCATGGCTTACGGAGGAAGAATTCTGTTCCACTTCCCCATGGAGATAAAAGGAAATAAACAAGAACAAGAACTAGAAAGTAAATAGAAGAAAACCCAGAGGGGTGTGTATATATATGCTTGTACATGTATGTGTAGTGTGATCTAAGTGTAAGTAGAAGTAGCAAGATGTACCCAAAATTGTGCATGTTTATTAGACAGAAAAGAGACACCAGCAATCCTACCATCATGTAAAACAAATAAAGGTTTCCATTTTACACTCACTTGGCAGGACGGTGGTACCTCCCTGGGCGGTTGCTGTTTACCAACCTACTACCTAATTATATATATCTTTCTTCTTTTTTCAACGTACCAGCCGTATCCCACTGAGGTGGGGTGGCCCAAAAGAAAAAACTGAAGTTTCTCCTTTTAAATTTAGTAATATATTCAGGAGAAGGGGTTACTAGCCCCTTGCTCCCGGCATTTTAGTCGCCTCTTACGACACGCATGGCTTACAGAGGAAGAATTCTGTTCCACTTCCCCATGGAGATAAGAGGAAATAAACAAGAACAAGAATTAGAAAGAAAATAGAAGAGAACCCAGAGGGGTGTGTATATATATGCTTGTACATGTATGTGTAGTGTGACCTAAGTGTAAGTAGAAGTAGCAAGACTAACCTGTAATCTTGCATATTATGAGACAGACAAAAGACACAGCAATCCTACCATCATGTAAAACGATTACAGGCTTTCGTTTTACACTCACTTGGCAGGATGGTAGTACCTCCCTGGGCGGTTGCTGTCTACCAACCTACTACCTACAATTATATATATATATATATATAATATATATATATATATATATATATATATATATATATATATATATAATATATATATATTTATTCTCATATAGTTTGACTTGAGTCCTAGAAATGGGAAGTACAATGCCTGCACTTAAAGGAGGGGTTTTGGGTATTGGCGTTTGGAGGGATATGTTGTATATCTTTATACGTATATGCTTCTAAACTGTTGTATTCTGAGCAACCTCTGCAAAAACAGTGATAATGTGTGAGTGTGGTGAAAGTGTTGAATGATGATGAAAGTATTTTCTTTTTGGGATTTTCTTTCTTTTTTGGGTCACCCTGCCTCGGTGGGAGACGGCCGACTTGTTGAAAAAAAAAAAAATATATATATATATATTTTCTTTCTTTCAAACACACCGGCCGTATCCCACCGAGGCGGGGTGGCCCAAAAGGAAAAACGAAAGTTTCTCCTTTTACATTTAGTAATATATACAGGAGAAGAGGTTACTAGCCCCTTGCTCCCGGCATTTTAGTTGCCTCTTACAACACGCATGGCTTACGGAGGAAGAATTCTGTTCCACTTCCCCATGGAGATAAGAGGAAATAAACAAGAATAAAAATAGAAAGAAAATAGAAGAAAACCCCAGAGGGGTGTGTATATATGTGCTTGTACATGTATGTGTAGTGTGACCTAAGTGTAAGTAGAAGTAGCAAGACGTACCTGAAATCTTGCATGTTCATGAACAGAAAAAAGGGACACCACAATCCTACCATCATGTAAAAAAATTTACAGGGCTTTTCTTTTACACTCACTTGGGCAGGACGGTAACCCCCGGGGCGGTTCTGTCTACCAACCTACTACCTCATATAAGTAATAAAAATATATATATTAATATATATATAAAAAAAAATATAATATAAAAATATAAATATAAATATATATATAAAATTAAATAATATAATTAATAATATTTTTTAATAAAATATATATTTAATATATATATATATTAAATTTAAATATATATATTAAATATAATAAAATATTAATATATATATATATATATATATATATAAATATATTATAATATATTATATATATAAATATATAATAATATATATTTTTTTTTATTATCACACCGGCCATTCCCCCCAAGGCGGGTGGCCCAAAAGAAAAACTTTCCCCCAAATCCCCCCTCCATCACTGTCTTGCCAAAGGGGCTTTACACTACTTTTTTAAACTGCAACTTAAAACACCCCCCTTCAGAGTGCAGGCACTGTACTTCCCTCTCCAGGACTCAAGCCGGCCCTCCCGTTTCCCTGAACCCCTTTCATAAATTTTACTTTGCCACACTCCAACAGCACGTCAAAAATAAAAACCAAATTTTTTGCTCCATTCACTCCTATAAAACACGCTCACGCAGCCGCGGGAAGCCCCAACCCCCTCGCAAAAAAAACCTCCTTTACCCCCCCCCTCCAACCCTTCCTGGGCCGACCCCTACCCCGCCTTCCTTCCACTACAGACTGATACACTCTTGAAGTCTTCTGTTTCGCTCCATTCTCTCTACAGTCCGAACCACCTCAACAACCCTTCCTCACCCTCGGAACCCCTCGGGAAAGGGTTTCCTTGAGTTGGTGAGGCTCTTGATTTGGGGAAAATTGGATCTGTGCTCCAGTTCCCTAATTAACCTGAATCCTTCCACACCCCCCCGGGCCTGTAAAATCCTGGGGGTTTTAGCGCTTCCCCCTTATTATAATAAAAATCAGCCCTCTGACAACATTTTTTGGTAATCCCGCACCTCCTCCTAACTCCAAACACAAATTCTCTGCTTATATTCACACCACACATTGCCCTCAACATGACATCTCCACTCTCCACCTTTTCTCCTGCGCAACTTTCAACCCCACGCTTCACACCCATATAAGAGCGTTGGTAAAACTATACCCATACATCCCCTCTTTGCCCCCAAAGGGACAAATTTCTTTGTCCCAAGACTCCAAAGTGCACCACTCACCTTTTTTCCCTAAATCAATTCTATAAATTCACCCATTTTTCATGCCCATCTGCTGACACGTCCACTCCCAAATACGAAAAACGTTCACCTCCTCCATACCTCCCCCTCCAATCTGATATTCAATCTTTCATCACCTAATCTTTTTGTTATCCCAAACCTTACTCTTTCCTGTTTTCCACCTTTAATTTTCTTTTTTGCACACCCTACCAAATTCATCCACCAATCTCTGCAACTTCCTTCAGAATCTCCCAAACCAGGTCACAGAAAAGAGCAGCTTGACAACCCCCCTTTTTTGTTGTGATTTTTATCTTTTAACCCCAAACGCCTCTTGCCAAGACCCCGCATTTACTTCTCTTAAAACCCCCATCTTAAATATATTAAAAAAAACCAGTGAATCACACATCCTTGCAAGGCTATTTTTTACTGGGAAAAAATTTCCCTCTTTCCTACATACTCTAACTTGAGCCTCACTACCCGAAAAAACTCTTCACCTTTCAAAAACCCCTCCTACACCATACACTGCAACATTCCACATTGCCCCCCTATCCACCCTGTCAAAACCCCTTTTTCCAAATCCTAAATCCCACAAAGACCTCTTTAGCCTTACTAAAACTGTTCACTTATTTTTTCACTGTAAACACCTGTCCACACACCCCCTACCTTTCCTAAAGCCCCCTTTGTTCATCTCAACCCTTTCTCCTCTTACTTTTAATTTCTTAAATTATAACCTACCTACCTTTCCAGTACACTAAACAGATTTTCCCCCCTAAAATTTTTTTGCACTCTTTTATCCCCTTCTTTTTTCAAAAAACCCCCCGTACCCACCGAGGCGGTGTGGCCCAAATGGAAAAAAACGAAAGTTTCCTTTTACATTTAGTAATAAACAGGGAAGAGTTACACCCCTTGCTCCCAGCATTTTAGTTGCCTCCTACAACACGCATGGCTTACGG